GGTTATTTTACATGGCAAATGACTATAAAATTCACGACTTTCAACTAGTTTGCTAAAATTTTTTTTCCCAGAATGCATGTGGTTTTCTAAATTTTCAAATGCAACGCGCAAGTACTTAGAGTTATCATATTCGAATAAAATTTTGCACAGCTTATTTTTAGACCAAAAGACATCTTTTTGAGCCCGGCAAACTGTATATTTAAGAAAATAGTTAAAATAACGAGCGGTCTAATGTACATATCGTTAGTATGGTATGGAAAGGGCGTATCTGACATCATCGCTGAAATTCAAAAAAAACACAACTACAACAGGTGGCAACTCTTTTCGAAAGCGCTTCAGTTTGACATCCCAGTTTTGAAAATCGAGCGAGCGGTACAGATCCTTTGTCCTGGACAAAAAATTCCTTCGCGTATTATATACATAGATCAGCAAATTCCCAGCATTCATCGCTGCACCTTTAAAGTATTTTTGTGTTATTACTCCCTCTCACTACATCTAGACGTTTAGCTAATTTTGTTTTGAATTTCGAAGGTAATTTTAAAGAAGGCAGATTTTTTCAAATCGCAAAAAAATTAGATCTCAGCTTTTTATGGACGTTAAATATTTTTTCCGCACAGTATCAAAAACGGCAAATATTGAAGTAATACGACATTGACGAAAGTGCGAGATATTTAGTTAGACTCGAGTTAAAGATTATAAATTGAATTTCCATGAGAAAGTTTATATTTTGTCTACTTTCTAAATACATTTACTATACTAATTAATAAGAATTTAAATGCTTTATAAACCGAAAATTTTTATAAAAATCTCAAGGGGTATTCATATAAACGAGTAAATGCCTCACAACTGCGTAAACCTCGTAAACTTACTTCATTTTATATGGAAAACCGGTTTATTTACGAGGTTTACGCGTTTACGAGGCATTTAAGCGTTTAGATGAATGTCCATTCACTTTATAAAGCTCTTTAAATCTATTTCTTTTTTTATGAGTAATGAGAGCGAGTAACAGCACAAAAATACTTTGAAGGCGGAGCGAAGTACGCTGGATATTTGATAATTCTTTCTTCATTGAAATTTCTTTAAGGTTCGGTTTTTAATAGGTGGCAACCTTCAAAGAGATTGTCTAATAAAGCTTTATAGAACACATTTCCTCTGAGCAGATTTCGAGCTGTTTCGACTTTCGGCTGATTCGGTGAAGAATAAATACCTGTATAATGAGCTTGTTTATAAGAATTTATATTACTAGTATCGCTCAGTTGTCGAAATTCGACATTTTTTCATACACTTTTAAATTTTGCTTATCATCAATATTGAACGGGACCAAAATCCTCTCCCGGTACTCCCATAAAACCGCAACCTCCGAAAGTTAAGAAAATCTTCCTTAAAAAATTTGTATGAAAAATTACCTTTTTATGTTTTATTGAGACGAAAACGAACAGCAAAGCAAAACAAAATAACCGGAGGATGCCAGATTTTTCATACAATTTATTTTATTTAAAATTAATTTGCAAGACTTGTGAATTTTTTTAGTGATAGATTTTGGGGCCCCCGGGCCCGCGGTACAATTCTGAAAAACGTCGGGATGAGCGGGTTCGGAAGTTAAAAATTGAATTTCGGGATGGGCGGGATCGGGTCTTAATATTTAGTCCCATGCCCATCTCTACTCTCAATCCCTGCGCCACCTAACGGAAGACAAAAACACTGATCCAACTATCATTCAATGCGATTTAGAAATCTGGTAGAAAATGGTTCCAATGGAATGATTCTTGCCATTTTATATTAAAGATGTAGGTGTATCAAAATCTACTACCTTATCATAAGTGGTTCCAGATATAAGCGATATGGAAATTGTATTTCGGTTCGGTAATGATAACATATGCAGCTGCTTACAATTTCAGAACGTCAGATTAAGCGGATACACAGATAAGCGAAATGAGAAGTTCAGCTTGTATGGGAGGTGCCACGCCCCCTTTTCCAAAATCTACCACTTTTCGACGTAAGTACGGCATTGATAGCATATGTGGCTGTGTCAAATTTCAAGACGTTGGCATTAGCAGTTTCAGAGATAAGCGATATGAGAATTTCAGTTTGTGTGGGGCGGTGCCACGCCCCTTTTCCATTATCTACCACTTTTCACCGTAAGACCGGCATTGATAGCATAGTTGCTGTGTAAAATTTCAGCACGGTAGCATAAGCGGTTCCAGAGAAAAGCGATAGGAGAATTTCAGTTTGTATCGGAGGTGGAACGCCCCCTTTTCCAAAATCGACCACTTTTCGCCGCGAGTACGGTATTAATAGCATATGTGGTTGTGTCGAATTTCAGGACGTTGGCATAAGCGGTTCCAGGGAAAAGCGATAGGAAAATTTCAATTTGCAGGGAGGTGCCACGTCCCCTTTTCCAAACTCGACCAATTTTCGCCGTAAGTACGGTATCGATAACATATCTTGTTGTGTCAAATTCCAGGACGTTAGCTTTAGCAGTTTCAGAGATTAGCGATATGAGAATTTCAGTATGTATGGGGCGGTGCCACGCCCCCTTTTCCATTATCTACCACTTTTCGCCGTAAGCACGTTACTGTTAGCGTAAATAGCTGTGCTAAAATTCAGGATTTTAGCATAAGCAGTTCCAGAGATAAGCGATATGAGAATTTCAGTTTTTATGGGCGGTGCCACGCCCCTTTTCCAAAATCGACCTCTTTTCGCAGTAAGTACGGTATTGACAACCTATGCATCTGTGCTAGGTTTCAATTCTCCAGCGTAATTGGTTTTAGAGATATAGTGGTTTTCACATTTAAGTCTATATGTCAGATGCCACTCCCCCTATGTATCGGGATGAATATTTCTGGATTAGAGCAAGTTATATCCTTTAAATCGGTGTATGGTTCATTAAAATCGAGCCAACGGTGACTTCAGAAAAGGGATTGCAAAATTTTTTTGTGGCGTATTTATATATATAGATTTATTTATATGTAATTTATAAAAATTAATGCTTTCTTAAAAGTGTTACATTTTTTATGTATTCTTCTTCAATATTTAACTGAGGTATAAATAAATTAAATTTATGTTTTTTAACCCTAATTAAGCTATAAATACTTAAATACGTAAAAATATTTGCTCCTGCGTGTTTATGAATTACCAGCTAAGTTCCTCAGGCAGACCACCTGGATACTCTCCAGTAAGGCATGCTGTGCAATATCCGGATTTAATAGGGTTTGTGTTTGCCTTGTTTCTTTCGACAGCTTTAATAAGTCCGGCAACGCTGAGATATTTCAAACTGTCAGCGCCTATAAGAGTATAGAAATAAGAATATGTATTAACTAATCAAGTCATGGTCGCTGAAGCACATTGACTTACCGACATGCTCAGCTAGCTCGTCTGGCTGCAGTTTATTTGCAATCAGTTCTTCCCTTGTTGGTATATTAATCCCCATATAGCAGGGGTACATAAGCGGAGGGCTAGCGATACGAACATGGACCTCCTTGGCACCAGCATCCCGCAATAGTTTAATGATGGGGCCAATGGTGTTGCCACGCACTATTGAGTCATCAATCAGAACCACTCGTTTGCCTTCGCAATTAACGGAGAGTGCACCAAATTTCTTGGCCACGCCTAATTGACGAAGCCGCGTGGAAGGCTGGATAAACGTTCGGCCGACATAGCGATTCTTACAAAGCACCTCGGAAAACGGTATACCAGACTAAGGAAAAAGGTT